CATGAAATCAATTTACAAATGTGTTTTTAGTCCAGGAAGTGACATCGGCCACCAATCAGCATCAAAAATCAAATCATCTTATACAGAATTTTACGCTCTTCAAAATGATACTAGCCACTTTTTAATATTTTCCATGTGGACACACCCTAGTGTACACTGTTGTAATTGAATTTCGATTGATTGCTGAACTCCGTCTTGTACATCCACATGCTCTTGTAACGGCTCAGTTTGTTGGCTATTGTCCACAGTCACATCCAATGGATGATTCTCTTCTTCTTCTTCGTCTTGATCTTGTGCCGGCTCAGTTTGTTGACTATTGTCCACAGTCACATTCAATGGTTGTCGTTGACGCTGCGAATTGGCCCATTCAGAATATATTCGAATTCTTTCATTCGTTTCATTAACGCAAGTACGCTTCGGACGCATCCTTAATTATAAAATGCGGAAAAAAAAGAAACAAATCGATACATATTCGTACAATATCAAAGAAAGATCTTGGACAACAAACAAGCGGAACAGAACATAACCAAACTTCAAAAAGCAAAGAGAAAAAAAATTGAACACGTGCCGATAGCGATAATTTATTTTCGAAACACGACAAAACATGAATTTTCCTGATTTATTTTGGGACTTGGATGAATTAATGCACAGGAAAAATCGTTCCGTTGGTCTGATTGACAATTGCGTCTCACTTTCTTTGATCGTTTAGATGATGAAATTATCAAACACGTTTTTTAAAGTTTAGAATATTTTCCAATTTGTTATCAATTTGTTTGAAATCACGACAAAATATGAATTAATTCGATAATTATTGAGGCTTATTTGATTTTGAGCACAATAAAAATTAATTACGGTTTTTTTCCCCCTTTGAGACTAAATTATTTCAACTATTCCGAATGGAGCTCGCTGTGTAAGTGCGAAAGATTATTTGACATTTCGTAATAACAGTGCCGACAAACTAGCTGCTACTGTATATGTGTATGTGTATGTAATTGCGCATAATTAATTCAATCTGAAACAATGACCAATACACTTTGCATTTATGTTTATATTGGTCGCGTATATACAAGCAACTAGACGATGCGCCATCTATTGGTGATTGTTTTAATTTTCATTCGATTATATCGTTGTTTAAATGGTTATGAGCAAACAAAAGTCATAAACAAAAAATGGATCCACCAAATTTGAATTCAAATATTTTCTCCAATGCTCAGAGATGATAAAAAATCAAACAAAAGTATTTCAATGATGATGATTTAAATACATATGATTAAAATGTATTTATATTGAAGAAAAAAAAATCATAAAGCCACCGTTCATATTTATTACATTTATCAATCGACAACGAAAAATGAATCAATTTAATTGAAAATTGACGATGTCGTGTCTGCAGTTATTTTGAAAGAGTTTGAATTTCAAGTGAAAAAAAAATTAGAGCAAACAAAATTTTATGTCAATAAGAAAAAAATCGAGATGCTATTCTTCAAAATAAATCGTTTACCTTCAAAAATTCAAAACTCATAAAGAAGCAACAAAGAACTATTCACCATATATAATTCTTGAACTATGCGTTCATATAGCACCCACCATCATCTGAAAAAAAATCTGTGTGAATTAAAAAACTTTGATTAAACTGTAGAAGACAACAGTTGAAAAAAACATTATTTTTCTCAGTTTATTTAATCCTCTTATATTCTAATTGAACAGTGTATGGTATTGACTTATCTGAACCTATTCAACCTACTGATCCTCTTATATTCTAATTAATAAATGAAATATGAATGGTATTGGCTGATTCAAGTGCGTGGTTGTGTTTGTGTGAGCGCGTTTGTTTGAATTTTTATCATTATTTTAGACCGTCTGGAATACTTGAAAAGATTAATTGGCCAAATTCCCTTACATCCGATACAAATATATCATCACGAATATCATTCAATTCAATGTCATCAGCATCATCTGGGTATGAATATCACAGCGAGCTTTTTTACACGTTCCATTTAAGTAAGAACTCGATGTTTCTTGATTTTAAAATTTCAGTCAAATCACCAATACCATTGAAGAGCTTCTGTACAATGAGGAAACCTATATTAAAGCTTTGAAACATGGCATCGATGGTTATGTGAAAAATTTCCATCGAAAAGATATGCCACCTCAGCTGCGTGGACAACAGTATCGCGTCTTTGGCAATGTTAATCGAATCAAAGATTTTCATGAGAACATTTTCTATCCAGCCCTGAAAGAATGCAATATGGACATTGTTGAGATTTGCCACACATTTCTTAATTTCATTGAGGTTTATTGATATTATTAGAGATGATTATTTAGAGATGATTCATTTGTCCTTTGTTTACAGAAAGACTATTTCTATATATATATATATATTGTATGCGATTAATCATCAAAAGTCTGAAAAAATATGTATTGAAAATCGCGACTATTTCAAGCAAATTCAAAATGAAATCGTCGATAAGCTTGGTGTGAATAGTTTTTTAGTGCAACCCATTCAACGACTGCCGAAGTACAAGTTGTTATTGGGTCAACTATTTTCGGAACTCGGTAAGCGATTCATTTCAGTCTGAAATTTTCAGTGCATGACGATAGTATTAAAAATGAATTGGGTGCATGTTGTTTGGCGGAGAAAAGAATTCAAAGTCTTTTGGATACATTAAATGGATCAATGAACATCAATGATATTGATCACATTGATTGCAGTGAAGTGAGTTGAACTTGATACATAGAATTTTAATTTCAAATTACCAGTAAACGAATCACTAGTTGCACACACTGTGCCAAGGAAAATTTTGTCTAGTCGATAAATTTGACATTTTTGAGAAAAGTGAGCGTCGCCGATATAAGGGCAAGGCTTTCCAATTCGAAAAATGCGTCATTTATACGGAGCAAACGAACAAAAACATACTTTCATACCGTGGACACTTTAGACACATCACACTGGGGTTCACATTCGAAGATCAACGCAACTATTTTCGATTATACAACGAACGAAAAAGGTAACCAAGAAATTGAATTTTCATCGGATGCACAAACTGTTCAACTATGGATTCAAATGCTTAATCGTACCATGATTATAGTCGTACGACATCAGGGTGAGCTAAGATATAAGCAGGCATATAAGATCATAGTGTCTGACTAATTTTACACTATGTTAATTCTAATAGAAAAGAAGAAAACTGAAGAAAATCACAAGGTATCCGAGTCGAGTCCCCTAGAAATTTTGCTACGCAATACCACATCAGGTTTACATGATCTGGCCTTGTCCACCATACATGCAGAAAGCGTTGATTCGTCTAGCGGCAGCGAATTGCAACGAAATACAATGAGTGCAAACGCCAAGGTAAGGTGTTCAAGAATCATGATTAACCTTAAAGAATTTTACGCATATAATAATTCTAGTAGAAAAGAAGAAAACTGAAGAAAAACACAACGTATCCGAATTTTTAAATAATTCTATTTTTTCATCAAGATTTTGTAATATTTCATTTTACTTTTCCGCACATACCTAATGTGTAAGGTATTGAAATCGGTCGAAAAACTAAGACCATCCTAAAACATGTTTTCTGCCATCATGTGAATCAGCTGTTTTCTCGATGTCCGAATTGCAAAAATTTGTTAACATTTGATAACTTTCCTTCAAGAAACGTTGCTAATTCAAAATCTGACTTTACAGCATGATTGCGGCTGGCCAAAAATAGTAATTATTAGATTTTGAGCAACTTTGATAGGGTAAAGTTTCATGTCTGGTGTGATGCCTATGAGAAACATTTCATTTTATTTTTCCCTCAAAAACGAAAATTTTGTATGGGAAGGCAATAATATGAATTGAAATTTCTTCAAAATTTGCTGTGATTATGTTAAGCTTGCTAATTTTTTTTATTGCGATGTAACTCATTTTTTTTTCTCAAAATCCGAGTGAAATCCGGGCGAATCCCTGCAAAATAAATTGTTTTAGTCAAAACAAAAATATTGGCTTCAGACTGGGTTGGCAAGTTTACACGTTTTTTGGTTTCACCACGTAATTTACGTAATTTACGTCGAAACGTAAAAAACCCAAAATATCTGGAAATATAATTCGGAAATTGGGATAACTGATGAATGTTTATAAGAACTGATGAAAGTCAATTCTCGAATGAGAAAGGAATATTCTCAATATTGAAGCGTAAAACATTTCTTCTCAAACAATATTTTGGTACTTTTCTGGGCAGCGAAATCATGAAAAAGTGTCTTTCCTGCGTTTCACTTCGAAGCTGATGAACATAGCGTTACATGGCGGCTTAAACATGTAAACTCAAACGAATATTTTCCATTTGATAGTTTATCACACAACTAAATACGTAACAGACTTTCTGAATCATCTTACATTAAGACATCTTACATTAAGAAAATATTTATTTTCAAAGTCGACGTAATTTACGTGCCAATTCGACCATGTAATTTACTTACTTAAATTACGGTAATAATTACATGTCAAAAAATTCTTCTTTTTTCAAATGAAAAACCCTAGCAAATGAGCAGAATTTCGGACCAAAATTTTTTTTGAAAATTTTGTATGGGATTTTGAATTTTCTTCAAATTTTCAGAATGTTAGTTTTTTCTAATAAAAATTCCCATTGCAAAGTTCCACGGCATTAAGATATCCTACAGGCATTGATTCCATACAAAAAATCCAATTTTTAGTAATTTTTGTATAAAAAGTGTGTCAAAAATTATTTTATTCAAATTCAAGTAAAAGATATGTAATAAATCCACAGTGCGGAAAAGTTCATTTTAATGTTATTTCTCTCACCAGGTGAATTCCGATGTTGTCAGCATTACAAGTATTAGTAAGTATACTGCCCAAGGATTAATTGTTAGCGCAAATCACCCATTACCAGGCCCAAGTTTACGGTCGAATTTGGGGTAGCATTCGTGTGTAGTTTCAGTCAATTTTACCGTCGCAATGGAAAGAAAAAAAAGATAAGAAAGCACAATTCAATTAGACTGATATGAAAAAATTGACTTGATTCATAATCATCATTATGCTATTGTATATGCAATAGACTCCACTTACCGAGTACAATTTATACCAAGAGGTACTCGTACCTTGGCAAGGCCACAATCAAGCCTAGCGAACTAACAAATAATTGTTATAAACTAATTTCTAAATTTAGTATTGTTTGAATGTTGTTGAATGAGGGCTGCTACTATGGCTGCTGATTTCCATTCCCATAGAACGGTAGTGGCACATTGTTGGCATTGTGGCGAGGTCTTCGTAAATTCGGATGAACCGTCCGCTTGAACACCACGCATTCACCTACCGAATGATACAAGAAAAACATACACCGAATGACATTGCAATATTTTTCAATTTGTATCAATTTCAATTAATTGCATACTTTTGTACAGAATCAGCTTCGCTGCTGCGATATCACGATGCCATACAGTTGTGAGCATTGGTTGTGCTTGAGCAGCTCCCTCGATTTCAACGTTTACTGCGTTTGGTAGCCATGTTTTGAAGAAGCGACGCTTCTTTGATACCAAACGACTCGTATTCCATCTTGGAGAGTTGCAGCAATGACATCGCCCATATCTCGCATCTCACGCCACACTCTTGCGATTGTTCGTCGTAGTTGTAATAATCGTTTGCTCACATTGCTTACGATGAGCGGTGGCAGACCAACAATAGGATTCGGTACACAACCAACACATACCTTATACCGATGGCTTCGAGTTGCTAGTGGAAATCGTTTGAAGCACAATGGACAATGTTGTGATGTCATATACTCATCGACCATCCGAACGATACAATTTCCACGTTTCATGATGGCTGCAATCAGTTTGCGAGTGCCTGGGCATCGCACGTGTTTTTTGATTTTGATCGGTGAGTTGGCTGGTGTGGATCCACTGGCTCCCATGTAGAAAATTGCTGCTTGATTGCGTGTCAGTTTGCAAGCCGTTTTGTCGATCGCACGAACCGAGTCGATATGCTTGTCCAATCCCAAGCGTGCATATTGCTTACACGTGTACGTTTCAATGCCATCATTCATAACTCGTAGTCGATGTTCAATATACGAGCGCCATGATGTTTCTCTTGGCGATGGCATTGTACCCAGAGTCGCTGCAACTCGATTGCGATCAGCTTTCTCGTCGTATGTAAATAATCGGGTGATTCGTTCGGCTTCCACCGCACTGAAGCGTTCTAGGTTTTCATGCCCGGGTCACAGCCAATAGCATACTTCAATTTGTTCCCTTTGTACATTTTCATGATTTCAGCATCACTTATTTCGACTGGTGGTAATTTTGGCTTTTTGTACATCATCGAAACAGACACACCGTCCGAACAAATTTGGAAATCGAAATACTTTTTGAAATGTACCAGTTGTTGAATTTTTTCCACATTGAAAAACAGATTCCAACTTAAGATTTTATTTCTGCGGAATTCGTTGCTCGTTATGTTGATCGAATTGGTCGTTTGCGTTTTTTCAAACCGCACTTCAATGGCACCAATTTTACACTGGCTAGGATGGTGTACAATGCGTCGGTATCGATGCGAATGTGACGACGTTGGAAACTGCACATTGGTACAACGACAAAATTTTTAATTTGTGGTGCATCACGACGACATTTGTACTCATTGTGATACCATTGGATTTCACGTTGAATATTTATCCACATACGAATCGAATGGAACCAATTTTCGCTGACATATTCTTTAATGTTGCAATCTTCTGGTGCACCTAACCAACGTAGCTCATCCAACAACTCGCCCAATCGAAGCTGTCGCTCAACATCGTCATTCGTGTTGTCTTTCCGATGATATGCGTAGTTAACGGCATTTTTGATGTCAGTTTCGTCTTAATATGGCAATTCATTGAGCGAGCCGTACAAGTTGTTAAAGTAGTTATATCGAATTGCATTGTCATTGAGCTGGAATGTCTTTAGCTTGAAAAAATTTCTTAAACGGGATTCGCAATGCGTTTTCAAGTTTGTTCGAACGTTGTCTTCGTATTGTTCATACAAGTACTTGAAACTATTACCAAATCCACCATTTTTGGGCCAATCGATTCTAGCAGCGTCTACCAACTGCCGAAAATCCGGTAGCATAAGAAAGACTTTGTCGATGTTGTCACGTAGCCTTAAAACAACGTTTAATCATGCTGGATCCATCATCCCATCCCATACAAAAAATTCATAATCAAAGTGATCAACAGCTTCATTCACCTATTCACAAACAAACGAACAAACAATCGAATCAATTCATGCAAATACAATAGTGCAAAATATCGCCCGTAAATTGCGTATAGAAAATGATGAAATAATATTTAAAACAAAATAGATAGAATTGAATAGAAAACATACTGAGAAAAATATTAATCTCCTTCAAAACTACTAGATGTAAGAATATAATTATTTTGTATTTATTTAAAATATATTCAATAAACCACCAAGGCGAAGGAACGCTGTTCGGTGCAGTTATTATTATTATATAATATCGAAAAATTGAATTTGATTGTCATTAGCGAAGAATTGAAATGAAAAATTATTCGGATGATATGATGAATTTATGATGAAATATTAAAAAAGAAGTTGATGTTTTTTTTATTCAAAGCAAAAAACTGAAACAAATGAAATTTTTGAACTTACTTTCATGAGAAAGAGTAATGATGCCAGGCACGCAATTTTCGTTGCTTTGATAGACAGAATAGAAATGATCACGATAATAACATCGTGATATCGTTCTCGGATAATTGATGGCAGTCCTTGCTTTATACACCTTTGGTCGGCGTTTGGATCTGCTGCCTTGTGGCGACCCATTTTGCAGTCTATTTCAAAATTAAAAAAAAAACGGAAAAAAGAAAGAAAAAATGCGTTAAATAATTATATAAACAATTGAAGGTTACACACAACGTCAAATCGCAATTTCAAAGCACAAAACACACACAATAGAGAGTACAACAATAACAATGATTGAATGGCCAAACAGTTTAAATCAACTTGCCTTGTGAGGATTTTTCGCTAAACTGAATTCGATTCGCAATATTCTGACAGTCAAAAATCCAATGGCATCAAATTCGAAGTTAATACACAGTCAAATTCACACAACAAAGACATATAAAATGAAGAATGCACTTCCACACAATTAAAATGAACCTCCTATCAATTCGATACAAAATACACTGTAATGCCGCTTTGATTTCTTACTGTGTGACTTTGGAAATGTTCTGTTATTTTAAAAACAAAACAAGAACAAGCACAAAATTCACCGTAAATAAATCTATTCTTTGCAAATTCACAATATCTACGTTGAAATTAGAAGAAAGAATTCTGTTTGTTTGAACTAAAAATCCACAATGCATTCTCACAACAAAGCACATTTTAAAATGTAAACAAATTATGATGTTTGCATCTTTTTTCAAAGTGACGATGGTTGAACGGCAACTGTCAAATTCAATTCGAATGTCTTTCAGATTTCGAAATTCGAAATTCATATACGTTCATGAATACGAAAGTATTTAAAAAAATAAATGCCAAGTGCCGTTTAAAAAAAAATTCTTCTGCAGAAAATTAAATCAAATCACTCAAATCTAATTTGTTTGCAGAGAATGGATTTTCTTGCGGTAAATAAATCATTAAATTTGAAATACAAAAACTTAACGTACAATACACATATTGGGTGGCGATCATATTATACGGTCAGAGTATGTTTTTGTATGGTAGTAAACAAGTGGAACGAATCATTCCATTGGAAGTTGTAAAATCTACGTTCCATTTGACACGGAAATGACCACTTAACCGGGCCAAAGCGTTACATTTTTTAACGTTAAAATGTCCTAAAAAGTAAGTATACTGAATTCCTAAAATTCGAGTTTTGATAAATTGTTTTCTTCTTAGATTCTCAATTACCTAAACGAACGTCAACATGGTACCACGATTATTTACAGTAAATATCACATCAATACTTTTCTTTCTAAGCTTCATATAATATATTGTGAAATTTTAAATTAAAAGTCAATTGAACGGGTGAAGGTTAAAATGAGCTCAAATCTCGACGACAATAAAACGGCAACATATTTTTTTTTGTATGGAGTTGTTGTTGTCATTACAACAACAAATCTATGTGAAAAAATGCGTTTCGCTGTTTCATTTTTGTTTCAAGTTTGGTTTGAGCTCACTTCAATTCTGACTCATATATAGGTAAATATAATAATTTATGTTTATTTTAATGATTTATTTTTGTAATTTGGCCTTCCCACAAAAAAGCAGTGACGAACTTAAATTGATAGAACGGTTTCAAAATTCAGAGAAATATTACATTCAACTATTAAAAAATACGACAACCATTTATTTAACCGACCTGCCAGACGATCTCCGTACCAATTTATGCACATTTCTTAAATCATTTCAACAAATTACGAAATTTCACGCAGAAACATTCCATCCAAAATTGCTTCAATGTGAAATGAAGACCATTTGTATCTGTGATCTGATTAAAGCACATCTTGATCAATTAGAATTCAACATTTATCACAAATATGCTGCATTCGTTCAAGAGTCACTACAATTGATTCTCAATTTTCACCAAAACTCTTCCGTAAGATTTTTTTTGCTCAAATTTTGTCGTTTGTCTTTGAGGTGCATTACATTTTTTTGTGCGCACCTCTCATTGGTTGATTCAGCCGTTTTCAGACTTGGTTTGATTTAGTCGTTTTCCAGTTATAACATTTTTTTATTCTATTTAGAATAGTATTAATTAGAATATATTTTAGAATATTATTAATAGTACGCCTATTGATTCAATCACGATTGGTATTCGCTTACTATTCAATGGGCATCAAATAGCAAGTTTATATGAAACTCTCGGAGACTCGGTATAGAGCACTTAAACAGTGAAAAAAGTCCAGATCGTGATTTAGATAATATGGAATGCGATTTTTTTCATTCTGATTTCACCAGGTGATACAGAAAATTGAGTAGTATTTGAGAATCGAAGAAAAAAAATTTAATAATTTTTTTCATTTTTCGCGATTTTTTATACCATCTATATGGGAAGCTTGTATGAAAAACACGGAAGACCGCTGAAATGGCAAACGCCAAATATATACGGACCTACGACAGTGCCATTTCAGCGGTCTTCCGTGTTTTTCATACAAGCATCCCATGTAGATGTGAAAAATCGCGAAAAATGAAAAAAATTATTAAATTTTTTTTCTTCGATTCTCAAATACTACTCAATTTTCTGTATCACCTGGTGAAATCAGAATGAAAAAAATCGCATTCCATATCATCTTAATCACGATCTGGACTTTTTTCACTGTTTGAGTGCTCTATACCGAGTCTCCGAGAGTTTCATATAAACTTGCTATGTGATACCTATTGAATAGTAAGCGAATACCAATCGTGATTGAATCAATAGGCGTTTTAATAAAATTTCTATTAACATTCTAATAAGAAATCTACTAACATTCTAATAAAAAATCTACTAAAATTCTAATAAAAAATCTACTAAGACCTAATAATTAGTAGTTGTTAGTAGCTAGTAAAATAATAATTATTACTTCTTAGTGGCTACTAAGAACTACTAACCAGTAAAGTACCCAAAGTGTCACAAAAAGTTATCAATTTCACCTATATAGATCGATGTAATGTGCCGAAAAAATAAGTTTGTGAAAATAAGAGGGGCCCAATCGAAATAGGGGGGGCAGGGGAGTACCCCACCATGTCAAAAATTCATCGGATCAAAAAATAATGTACTACAAAGTTGTTCAGAATGATGAGAGAAATTTTTTAGGACCCCTGCCCTCCAAGTCCCCCCACCCCCCAGGGGGGTCGGGGGGTCATAACCCATCAAGGTATGATTTTTTCAGCCTGAAACCTCGAAATTCGGAATCAGCATGCCAAAATACCCTAGAAATGATATTCGTCTCGAGCCCATTCACCCCAAGTCTCCCAATAATTCAGAGCCCCCCCATTAGGGTAAAATGATAAAAAGTCGACTTTTCACTTTTTGGGTGCGGAATTTCGCACTCAAATGTATGGCCAACTATAGCTAATTTTATCCGCACATTTCATTTAGACCATTGCCCATCCTCTCCCATCACCCCCAAGGGGGGTCCCCCTACAAAATTTACGAAAATTTCGAAAAATACCCCGAAATTGGGTCCATACCCCATCTAACCCCAAAATTAATTACATATTCGAATTCCTCGTGAAAAATTACCTATAGGCTCCATACATTCTCAATCTCTCTTGACCTATGTTTCACTCCTTCTAACTTGAACCTTCAATTCGGGTCGGAAAGTGAAAATACCCCATTTCGTTGAAACTTCACAATGGGATATTCACCCCTTATGACTCAACTTGGCATTTAGGTTTCTTCTAATGAAAGTTACGCATATCAATGTAGTTTCCATTGGTATATAGTTTTGGCCGCCCTGAATGACCCTGTTTGGAGGGCGGGGGTCAGAATAATATAAAAATGAACCCTTGCCCTCCGAATTATTTCGATTGGGCCCCCCTTATTTTCACAAACTTATTTTTTCGGCACATTACATCGATCTATATAGGTGAAATTGATAACTTTTTGTGACACTTTGGGTACTTTACTGGTAAGTAATAAAATAATAAAAATGATGAAACTAATAAAGTAAAAAAAATTCTACTAATTAGTAGAAAAATTAACACCTATGCTATGCACAGTTTCTTGAAGATCTTCTAAATGAATACAAATATAGAAATCTTTTTGCGGACGATTTCAAAACAATTGCTGCCGTGGAAATTAAGATGAAAAAGGTGCAGAAATTTGTCGTGGAAAACTATATGCTGAACTCAATGAAGGGAACATTGGTAAATATTTGAAAACTAGGGGGGAGACACAAAGAATAAATTCCGAATCCACTATTTAAAAATCCAGCTATTCCACTAATCCAAAAACACAAATGTGAAATCGAAACTATTTTTCCTATTCCATGCACTGTTTCCGCCAAAAATGCTAATTCTGCTATTCCGCACTATTCCACAAATCCATCAATAAACGTCAAAAGAAATGCCAAATGGATATGAAGTGAAACAATTTTTGCTATTCCATGCACTGTATCGCTATTCCACGCGAATCCATTCACAGACGTTACTATTTCATTGCAATTTCTCGAATCTTTACAATAAAAGTCTTATCCTATTACGTGTCTACCCCCTAGTTTGAAAATAGAAATCGAATTCTTTGAACTCTAATTGAAATTTATTCAATTTTAGGAGGCATTTGTTCGAAAATTTGGTGTTATTACATATTCCGATGAGATCTCACTCGACTTCACGAAATGCCGCATTTTAATTCTTGAACGTGGTCTCGTTTGTGTGAGAACAACGCTGAGTACTGTATGTTCTGTTTGAAAAATAAAAAATATTTTACATTTTTATTGTCGAAATTACAGAAAACCAAAACGGAAAAATTCATCGATCAAGTGTTTTCTATACCAATATTAAACATTGAACTGCATGAAAATGATATTTATCCCAGAAAAATGCGAATTATAACAGGAAATTCCACTCACATCAATTACACCGTTACATTTTCAACAAAGCAATTCATGGACGCAATTCTTACTCAACGAAATTCTTCAGATCATCGATATTGTAACGATAAATCGTAAAACACTTATTTTCAAAAAATGTATACAACACAAAAACATTTCATAATCTATAAGCTGTTTTAACACATTTGTTCAATAAAAAATTAATATCTTTTTAATTAAGAATTTTACAATAATTGCAAAATTTTTTAAATAATCATTCGAATGGTGCCCTCTTGAAGATGCAGCGGTTTTATCGACAGTTTTTTAACACATTATTTGAGTATTTTTGTAATATGAATGTTTCCCAAACGAATTTCGTACGTGTCGCCATCTGGTGTATAAATGATGACAGATTGATGCAAGAGTTGGTTTTCGTCTTGTCAGCAACATGATTCCATATGCTTGGATTGCGTCAACTTGTACAACTGATTAAAACCGAGTAAAAATGGCTTTGCCGACCGAAGATGTGCTTCTTTATTCCATGTTAGCATTTATTGTGGTTGAAAATTTTATTGAAATTTATTTATCACTACGTCAGGTAAACCATATATTACAGAATTTCTGAGAATAAAAAAATGATATCAATCATTGTATGATTATCATTGGTAGATTGAATCATAGTATTTCATCAGATTTTATTAATTATGCTTTTTATAATTTTGTGTGCTTAATAATAATTCGGTATATTTTTTCAGGTTAAGGTCTACAAAGAATCGAAAAAGGTTCCAGCTGAATTGGTAGATACGATAAAACCGGATACCTTCGAAAAGGCTCGTGTTTATGGATTGGATAAAGAACAATTTTCCATTTTCAAAAGCATAATAACCGATGTTATCATTGTGTCATTGGAATTCTATTTTGGTTTTTTGAGTCTGGTGTGGCATAAATCACAAGTATTTGCGCGTCGTTTTAATTGGGATCACCAGAACGAAATTATCATCAGTTGCATTTTCATGATCATACTGAATTCTTTGAATTTATTTAAAGATTTACCGTTCAAAATCTATGGAACTTTTGTGCTTGAAGAGCAACATGGTTTTAATAAGCAAACGGCAATGTTCTTTATCAAAGATCAAATCAAAGGATTCGTTGTTGGACAATTCATTTCCATTCCTATATCATGTGCAGTCATTTGGATTGTTCAACGTGGTGGCGATTATTTTTTTGTATGGTTATGGCTATTCACCGGCGTTTTAACATTGGTACTTATGACTGAAAATAGTTCTTTTGATTTTTCTAATATTTCCATAATAAGAACAATAATAACTGTACCGAACAGCGTTGCTTCGCCTTGTGGTCTATTTAAAACATAATATCAAAAAACTATGAGAAAGTAAGAAAGTGGTGTGTGAACACATGAATAAAAAATTGTTAAATTAAGAACAATTTACAAATTAACTGAAGAACGATAGCAAACACATTGTTGAAAAATTAAGGCTTTGTACAATAAGAAATAAGAATCTGCAAGTTAGGCTGGACCACACACTTAAAAGATACTGTAGTATTGCTGAGAAAATTGAGATTTGGTAGCGGAAGAATTAGCAGTGCAACAAATGTGAATCAGTTTTTACAATTCCAGAAGAATGAATTATGTGGCTGTACCACGAAGACCGAGTTAATTTCTATTTGTAATATGAATACTGTCAAATTGAAACGACGATTTACTCTGTAATATGCTTATTTTTAGTTTGGTTCAAGTTTAGATCGAAGTTTGTATCGAATATATACATAATATATCATACTGAAATGTGTTGATCTAATATAACCGAGAATAATTTTGAAGAAGAAAGACACTTGTGCTCTCTTCTCAAGCATAATCATTTGTAGTAAAAGCAATCTATGTTCATATTCCGGTATTCTGTAGCTATTCCAGGTCATTCTCATAAGTGTGTATAGAAGAAATTGTTTTTGGATTGATTGGATTCTTCTCTATAATTCTATTATTTTTACAAAATAATCCATTTTAATTTGCTTTTTTTCTGGTCATTTTCAGGTACTTATGACTTTGTATCCCGTGTTTATAGCACCATTGTTTGACAAATACAGCCCACTTGAGGTTGGACCATTGCGCACATCAATCGAAGAATTGGCTGCAAAATTGAAGTTTCCACTTGCACAACTGTATGTAGTTGAAGGATCAAAGCGTTCAGCACATAGCAATGCATATTTCTATGGATTATGGGGCTCAAAACGAATCGTTTTATTTGACACGCTTCTTGTCAATAAGGGAAAAACACAGACAACGGAAGGTGTTGATAACACGAATGAAACAGAAAAATTGACTGACGATGAACATTCCAAATCTAGAACTTTGCTTAAGCAAACATTAAGGTAACATTTTTTAGTCAAATTTAGCGGTAAAATAAGCAAGTTTGATAGATTTGAAGGAGCAGCTTACTTCTACTGTCGAAATAGGATGAAATTCAGATTATATCAAATGTGCGCCAAACCCGAATTAAAAACATTTTCGACGATAGATGATAGGAATATGATCTTAATTCATAGTTAGCTTTCTAACTGAGTCTTTTTTATTTCATTTTTTTTCTTTCATTGGTGACTTTGAAAATGACTGAAATTACACACATATGTGGCGCTATTTTGACCATAAATAATGAATTGTTTATCTCTTCAGAGCTGAGTCCGAAGAAAAAGAAACTGAAAATTTCAAAGAAAATTACAATGAAAATGTTGGCAAAGGTTGTAAAGATGAAGAAGTTTTGGCTGTACTTGCACACGAACTTGGCCACTGGAAACTTGGACACGTTACTAAAAATATCATTTTCATGCAATTCCATTTATTGCTGATGTTCGTCACATTCGCCTATCTTTTCAAATATGATCCACTTTATCGAGCGGTTGGATTTCGTGTTGGTGAACGACCGGTGCTAGTTGGTTTGCTTCTGATTGTATCCTACGTTTTAGGCCCATACAATGCATTGATCAATTTCTTAATGACAATTGTTTCGCGAACATTCGAATATCAAGCCGATGCATTCGCGAATGATCTCGGTTACAGCAAGGAATTGGCCAAAGCACTAATTAAACTGAATATTGATAATTTGGGCTTTCCCGTTTACGACTGGATGTATTCAGCATGGAATCATTCACATCCAACACTGCTACAACGTATTGATCGACTAAAAGATATCAACAACGATATAAAGAAGTCAAATTAACCTATTGTACTCCAAGTTATAAAAAGAGAAAATAAATCAAAAGCATTTCTATTTTCATTTTTTTTACTTTTCTTCTTTGTATGAGCAACAGTTATAAATAAATAATTGGTAGATTATGAAATATTAGTGTGTCTTATTATTTATTATTATGTCTCTTTTGATACCCAGAAGAAAAGAATGGAAAAAATGGAAATTAATCAAAGCGTAATGGAACAAAATGGAAAATGAATCGAAGGAATTGTAGAGTAATGGAATGAGTATAGCTGTCGGATTATTGTTCATTTTTTTCACTTTTCGTTGTGGTGGTCTTTGTTTTTATTGCTTTTTATGTTATGTTTTTCTCTTTCTCTCTATACCAACATTCAATCACAACTTTCTTTTTTGAAAATTAACTATTAATATAATATTTCTGTTACAAGTAAATAGCTAATACCATGATGAATGGAATGTAAGATCATTTTGTTGATGTTTACGCCGATGACACGCACACATACGAATACATTATTATTATTATGTATGCTTCATTTTTGGTGAATTTTGCAAAATTACATCGGCCTTAGGCATTATACAATACACATATACATATGTACACTCAATTTTTCAATATTTGAATGAACCTACATATATACAGCGCACTCTTTCCAACTTTTTCTGTGTCTCTTTTGTTGTAGTTGTTGTCCCTTTCATTAATTGAGGGTTTCGACTATTCATTTGCTACTTATCTTTTATTTATTTTATTCGCTCTTTTCGCAAGCTATACTGACGGATTATTGTTCATTTTTTTTACTTTTCGTTGTCGTGGTCTTCATTTTTATTGCCTTTTATGTTATGTTCTTTCTCTCTATCTTGCACGCGCTATTTTTCAGTCGATGTAAACTGTTATTTTAATTTGTATATCTTCATTCTCATACTTTCGTAATTTAGAAATATTATACATTTGATTATTTTGGTGTAAGTGTGAATTAACGCAAAGATATAATCATATCAAGTGGCTAATGAAAGAATTACGCATGATCATTTGAATAATTATGAAAAATGTGATTAGATTACCATTTTAAAATGTATGGCGGAAAAGGGTGAATAGGTACGATAGAGATAATTTAATTGATAAAAAATACAAAATGAAAACTGAAATGAATCTGCTCTTAATCGTGATAATTGTGGCAATCGTATTTGTTTAATGAAAATATACTGACATCGTTGTATGCAATTAAATTTAAAAAAGGTAATCGAAAATTATATGAATTATGGACACCTGTGTAACCCAACACAATGGCATAAATATTGGGGAGCATTCGAACCAATATATCGAATTAATTAAATACATGATGTCAAAATGAATTTTCTATAATATTTTTTGCTGCTCGCATATTTTAAAAAACAAACCACTTTGAACTATTTAATTTTCAGTGTGACGAATAGCATTGCTCTTGATTGTAGAACTTTTTCTAAACAGATTTTCAATACGAATAGAAAAAAATTCGATAAACGCTCATCAAAAAGACAAGGGGCGTAAACTATTATTTTCATATAGTAGCATTGAAATCGGTTGCGTTATGTGCTAAGGGATCAACACCAATGTCTTGTATATTTAGTTTCATTCTAGTTTCTTTTAGTATACAAACAAAAACGCAAATATTCTGCTAGTATTTCCAGTATTGAGTCAAATGAATCGCATTGCCAGTGTGAAGACATTTATACGGAGAACAATAGAAACCTTGTTCTCACTAAACGCAAATATCACAGCGGACGGCAGTTCGCGCGAGTGACGAAACCACCTTAGTGTGTTGAAAAGTCGACTTGCTATATATACACGTAATTTCCAAATTCTAGCCTGGAAGGCCTTTAGCCGCGATTGGTGTATGGTTGGGAAGCCATTGGGCCATAGATCAAGAAAAAATATAAAAGTTCGAAAATCGGTCCACCTGTCTTCAAAATATGGTCCTTTCAAGAAGTCCATAGATGGCACTAAATGAGGTCAACGACCCCTGAAACATCGATATTCGAATTCTAGAGCTCAATACCTTTCCAACGACCCCCTAACCGTCAAAATCGATCAATCTTTTCGAAAAATTCCGCATTTTGAAAATTTAATATGATTTTCCTATAAAAAATATTTGGTATATCTGTCTGTGCGCAATTTTGCGTAGTTGTTTTTGATCTTTTTGAAACGTTCTGTGATTAAAGTACACAAAAAACTAAGACTTTTTTGTTCCGGCACTTTTCGATATGGCCGCCATGTTG